GTACCAGTCAGATCTGATTTGACAGTACACACACAAATTTAAAAAAATTTAAACAAAACATGTCTATCCTCCTGTCTTAAACTAATTATTAAGGCAAACAATCCAAATGAAAAATGGGCACAGGATATGAACAGACATTTCACCAAAGAAGACATTCAGATGGCCAACAAGCACTTGAAAAAATGTTCAAAATCCCTAGCTCTAAGAGAGGTGCCAATCAAAACAACTATGAGATATCATCTTACCCCAGTAAAAATTGCAAAATTTAACAGAAAAGCAAAGCAAGCAACAAATGCTGGCGAGGTTGTTGAGAAAATGGAACCCTTATTCACTGTCGGTGGGAGTGTAAAATGGTGCAACCACTGAGGAAGGCGGTGTGGCGCTTTTTCAAAAAGGTGCAGAGATACCATTTGACCCAGCAATTCTGCTACTAGGAATATACCCCAAAGAGACATAACTGACACCAAGCAGATATATATACACACACATGTTTATCACAACTTTGTTCATGATAGCAAGGAGTTGGAAACAACCTAAGTGCCCATCAACAAACGAATGGATAGAGAAGCTGTGGTATATTCACACAATGGAATACTATGCTGCATTGAAAAACAAGGAACTCATGCAAAAATAATCAAAAATGGGTGACCCTGGAGGACATTATGCTCTATGAAATATCTCCGTCACAAAAGGACAAATACTGCATGGTGCTACTGTTGTAAAACAGGACTGACATCGGGGTTGGGGGGAGACTGAGAAAGATGGGATAAATAATGTATACTGCATTGAAACAGATGAGGGAGAAAACTGTTTAAAAGAGATATGTGATAAGGTATTATTGTCATGACGGGAGTCCAGAATGAAGGCTGCATAGCAGAGTGGAATTGGGGGAAAGAATTTTTCTTTTACTTTTTAAAGAGAAGAGGGAACTGGGGGGAGGGCTGGGCAGGGAGAAAAGTGCAAAAATGAATGAATGGAAATCCTCAGTCTCTGTAAACTTTCATTAAAATTAATAATAATAAAAAAAATTTTAAAAAAGGAAACAAACCCCCCCTAACCATTATGCTCTATGCTATGGACTCTGATCCCTGCCCAATTAAGCAGAGATTCTCAAAAGTGTAGTCTCCAGCCAACAGTATTAGCATTATCCAGGGACTTGTCAAAAACGAAAATTCTCAGACTCCACTTAAAAAACTCCCACAACTCACAGCTATGGCGTATATTTCAACTCATAGCAGCCTTCCACTGGGTTTCTAAGACTGTCCACCTTTCCACAAAGGAGCAAATGGTGGATTCAAACCTCTGACCTTACAGTTAGCAGTCTAACACAACATACATTATGTTGCCAGGTCCCACTGCTGTTGTTCAGAAATTCTGGAGTTTTAGCCCAGCAATCTGTTTTTAACCACCTGGTGATACTGATGCATGCTAACATTTAAGAAGCACACTCTAGGGGATTATTTTTATTGTTTATCCTTTTTCCTGTACCTAAAATCTCCTTTAGCTCAGCGGTTCTTTTTCCTGAACCACTTCAACAGCTTTCTATTTGCTCTCTCCATATGTAATCTTGCCTACTCAATCTAGTCACCACTAAGTAATATGCTGGATTATATGATTCCCTGCTTAAAACTTTTCAATGGCTTCTCACTAATCTTAAAATAATGATCAATATCTTAAGACCTCAAGGCTCCTCATACCTTTCAAGCCTCTTTTATCAGTACCTCTCTTGTACTGTATGCCGAGCAAGACTAGTCTTTCAATTTCTTGATTTTGCCACACTTCTGGGCAACTAAAGAACTTTAGATTTGCTACTCTCTGCTTAAAGCACTCTTTTCTTAATATCTACTTATACTTCAAGTCCACATTAAACTTTCCTTCTCTTATCCTTACAGTTTCCTTTTGTCATTGTTGCATACTGTTCAATCTGAACTGACTCATAGTTGATCCTCCAGCAGGTTTTCAGAGACAGTAAATTGCATGGAGGGAGACTGCCCATCTTCCTCCCACAGAGCAACTTACCACTAGCCCAGCAGAGCTCCCTTTAGGTTTTTTGGGGTTTTTAAAATTTTTTTTTATTATTAATTTCAATGAAAATTTACAGAGACTTTAGATTTCCATTCATTCACTACTGTACTTTTCCCTCCACCCACCCTTCCCCCCA